TGCTGGCAAGGCAGTGCACCTTTCTCCAGCTCTGTCTTCAGGGGAAATGTGTGCATTTGAGTAGGATAAGTCTTGGAATCAGGCAGATGTCTGGTGCCCCCCAAATAATCAGCTCCTTGGGACAGGCATGGCCTGTCCCTACAGCTGCCCTGTTCCAGCTCCCTGGACCCGCCCAGCTGGCACACTACACACCCCCTCGGCCTGCAGAGGGCAGCCTGTGCCCTACAAGTCTGTGGAACCAGGGCTAGTCTGCTTTGCCTTCTGGGTGGAGGCATACAACCCCAAAAATCTTTCTCAGGCAGCAACTTTATTTTTTATTTATCTATTTATTTTTTAATATAATTTACTGTCAAGTTGATTAACATACAGTGTGTAAAATGTGCTCTTTGTTTTGGGAGTAGATCTCCATGGTTCATCACATACAATACCCAGTGCTCATCCCAACAAGTGCCCTCCCCAATGCCCATCACCCACTTTCCCGTCTCCCCACACCCCATCAACCCTCAGTTTGTTCTCTGTATTTAAGAGCCTCTTATAGTTTGCCTCCCTCCTCTCTGTTTGTAAGTAATTTTTCCCCTTCCCCTCCCCCATGGTCTTCTGTTAAGTTTCTCAAGATCCACATATGAGTGAAAACATATGATAGCTGTCTTTCTCTGACTGACTTATTTCACTCAGCATAATACCTTCCAGTTCCATCCACGTTGATACAAATGGCATGATTTCATTCTTTCTCATTGTCAGGCAGCAACTTTAGACCTAGAACAGTCAGATCCAATTTGGACTGGCTGCCTGAAGGGGTCCCTGGCAGATATAGCATCCAAGGTCCCCAGGTCTGTCTTCTTGAAGACCGCCCAGATAATCACCCTAAGACATCACCACACCCTAAACCCTGATCCTGACCCTGGCTCTTAGAGAATTTGGTGTTGTCTATGTTTTGAGATTTTGGCTGTTCTAACAGGTGTGTAGGGGCATCTCATATTGTTTTAATTTGCATGTTCTTAATGACATATGATGTTGAACTTCTCTTCATCTGCCATCTGTACATCTTCTTTGACGGCACGCCCATTTAGATTTTTTGCCCAATTTTTAACCAGGTTGTTTTCTTACTGTGGAGTTTTAAGAATACTTTGCATATTTTGGATAACAATTCTTTATCAGATATATCTCTCTGTAAATATTTTCCCCCAGTCTATGATCTGTCTCTGTATTCTCTTAAACTAATTATCTTTTTATTCAAGTCTATTTTTTAATTTCTACTTTAACACTAACTTAGGAAAGCACAATTCACTGAGATTTCCACTGCCAAGAATAGGTGCCGCTTTTCTGAATGGGACAGGAAGAGTGAATCGCATGATGACAGTTAAAGCAATCCCAAAGAAATAAAGGCAGAGTTCGTGTTCTTTGAACTTGGGAGAACAGTCTCTTGTTTACTTGGTCCCATGTTCATTAACAGCAAAAGGGTGAAACTGCAGTGTGCTACTTGTGGTGACAGACTAGCTGCTGAGGCAATGAGACTATCGGCACTGGAGCCACAGTCACAGGTAAAACGTAAGTAAATTGGTTCCAAACCAAATTCCTTGAGAGAGAGAGTATTAAGTTGAGAAGCTGGCAGCACCAGATTTTTAATATTTCACATACATAAACCAGTGCTTTTCAGGTTCTTGACAAAGTGGTACCTTGGTACCAAGTTACCAAACAAGTATACATGAAGGCTGACATGTTCATGGAAGACCGCGTCACAGGCTTGAAGCACCAAAGTCATCGCTTGAAAATATTGGGTGTGTCTGTGGCATACAAAGAGCTTGGGCACAACTTTCCAAAGACACCACTTCTCAGCACATCAAGGAGCTGGTTAGTGAAATAGAAGTTCAGAGATAGAAGTCAGAATAAATGAAACTACCAAAAGATTTTCCATCATGGCCTGATGGACTGTTATGGATGACACAATGCATGTGTCATTTGAATACGATGATGATGCAAAATGAGAAATTTGTTTATAGCTTCATTGCCAACAAAACTGTTAGCTCTGAACCAATTTGAACCACGCACAGCAACATTGCCAACAGGTGTAGTTTGGAGACTGAGCTTTGTGTGGCGAGTCCTGACGGCACAGCTGCAGTGAGAAAAATGGTCTGGAGCAGCTGCCTGGAATGATGAACTTGCACCAGGATCTTAGTCAAAGCCCTGCCTTCTTTAATGACAATGTCTTGCCTGAAAAACATCCGACCCAAGCAGTGTGCTTAAAGAGGCAGTAAAATTGTGACTTCCCTAACAACTGACACATTAAATTCAAGATCATTCTCTTTATTCTGTACAAAATGGAAGCTCATCATAAGCAACTGGTGATACATTTTTAGATAGGGTAGTTATCAAGGGGAGGGGGCCCAGCTGAGAATGCTTGACGAGGATGGGCTCCTAGCGTTTCGGCAAGAAATGAAGGATTGTGGCCCCAGCTCATTAACATCATGAATCAGACAGTCTGACTCCCTGATTTATCTAATATCCTCTATATTTAAAGATATTAATATTTCCGTGCAAGAACAGAATGCCATGCATTTTCATTAAGACACATAAGGTCAGAGAGCACGCATAAATGTTAAAAAACCAGAAGAACAGGGGTGCCTGGGTGGCTCAGTTGGTTAAGCTCCTGACTTTGGCTCAGGTCATGAACTCACGGTCTGTGAGTTCGAGCCTCACGTCCGGCTCTATGCTGACCGCTCAGAGCCTGGAGCCTGCTTTGGATTCTGTGTCTCCCTCTCTCTCTGTCCCTCCCCCACTCGTGCTCTGTCTCAGAAATAAACAAACATTAATAAAATAAAATAAAAATAAAAAAAAACCCAGAAGAACAGAGGCTCATGCAGATTGTGATAATGAATTCCATTATTAACAAGTATTGTTTTGGCATTTGCACATCTGTGAAAACTGTAACCAAACACCTTATGAACCAATAAGATGTGGAGTTTTTTGATTGAACATTTTAAATATAATTTTCCGTCAAATAAAGACACTGCTGCAATGAGGATGTTAATGGATGCTGAACCTATTTGCCCCCAATTGTTAGCCAAACCGAACCAGAAAACGGAAGCTGGGAGCCTCCTGGGGCACCGAACCAGAATCGGCAGAGCAGCGAGAGTCTGAAGGGCCAAGGGGAGGCCTCCATCACCAGTGTCAAGAGGAGGCACTTGTGTTTTGCTGTATTTTGCTTGAAATCGGGTGACGTTAGAGCATAATAAATGCTGACATGCATGACGTGATAGAGATAAAACCCTGATTTGTAGAGAGAGGGGCAGTAAGTCTTCCATTGGGGAGGCCTTTGTTGCATTGCCATTGGTGTGTGAAGACAGGTCCTTGCATACGACACGAAGACACACAGATATATGCCTGCAAAGAAAGGCAGACATAGATGCAGTGTCGGGACTGTGTGTAGTTTCTCTTCTGATTTCTTCAGTTTCTCAGTGAGATACAAGTCAAGGCCCAGAAGGTAAGATGAGAGGGGCGGTGTGATAAGCAGCCATCTCAAAGGATGTGAGGACACCCACCCTGGAGACCTAGAAGTCATGGGCAGCACCAAGGACCCACCCAAGGCGAAGTCTTGACAAGAGGTTGGCTGAGTTGGTAGGTGGAAGGAGAGAGGTGGAGTCATCCAGCACTAGGGGGAGGGGAGGGAGGGGACGGAGCACAGCTGCAAGCAAGGGAGGGGTGCGGTATAATGGCGGTGCCGTGAATCCAGGGCATGGAAGTGTGTGTGCGCTGTGATGGTCAGCCAGGCTGGGCACCAGAGGCAGCAAGCTGAGGAACAGAGGACGTAGTCAGAGGGAGGGCACTTGAACTAGAAATGGAGGAACATAGCCTTTGGTGTTGTGGAGGCCAGGGAATGAGCTTGGCAGTGGCTGACTGAAGGAAGGAAAGGTGAGGTGGCCAGGAGAAGGGGGTTAGAACCTAGGTGGATTAGGTATGTGCCAGCAAAGTCACCACGATCGGTAATGAGCAAGACTGACGCCACTGCTCAAGTCCTCATCAACTGTGAGATGGTTGGAGGTTCTGTCCCCGACACTGCCCAGGAAAGGCTGCAGGGCAACTGCTAACAGCTTGTGCTTCCAGGGGCTGGGGTTTGTGGAAGAAGAGAAGCCACGATCCAGATGCAGCCAGAGGGGTACCCAGTCCACCTCCAGCAGGACAACACTCTGGAGAGGTGGGAGGAAAATGGAGAAGAGGAGGAATTAAAGCTGGGTGGACTGGTCTCCATTAGAGGCCAGCCTGATGGTCACAATCATCTGGAGGGATTCAGAACAACAGAAGCCCAGGTGGTGCCCCCGGGGACACTGCTTCTGAGCTACATCAAAGTCCAGGGCTGGCACTTTTAAACATCCACCCAGGTGACACAACAGGCAGCCAGAGACCGGTGAGTGAAGGACGGTGATGGGCACAGCCCAGCGCAGGGAATAGAGCCGGTCACATTGTAATAACTTTGTACGGGACAGATGGGAGCTCTGAGTAAGGGTATTGTGGAATCACTATGTTGTACTCCTGAAACTAACGTAACATTGTGTGTCCGCTAGGCTGCCAAGTGGCCATCCCGGAAGCCACGACCCCTGAGGCCTTTGGGGACCGGGGCTCCACATTGCCTTGAGTACAGTCTCACTGATGCAGCCACATTGTTTTGTTACAGGTGATCTCAGTACACATTATTTGTCCTGTATTTTTGGAATTATGTGTATGAACAGGTTAGACCATCTCTGGATTTTGTTGTGTGCCAGCAAAGAGAATTGCAGTCACCTGCGTGGCTGAGAAGCTGTGTTCAGGAGGACACAGGACAAGGGTCTGGTGTCTGTGACCGACTCAGGACCAGGTGGAGGTGAGTGAGGGACAGGGCGACAAAGTCACCATGGTCATCAAGCCTCCCCCACACCTCCCTCCAAAGTCTGAATGAGGAGCCCCCAGGGCCGGCCAGGGGCTAAAGCCCTGAGTCCTCACGGGCACCTGAGGGTGAGCATGCCAGTCCAGCAGGATGCCATCAGTCACCACCAGGTGGCAGCAGGGGACAGGAGAGGGGCCAGGCCCCACACAGGAATAGCTGCTCCTGGGCCCGATTGGTTGGCCGCCCAGGTGTCTCAGCCTCCTATCTCCATTCTAACATAGAACCATCTCCCCCAAATCCTACACTTCCCGGGGCTCGCCTGCCATAGAAGGAAAATAAGTTTCGGGTGACCCTTCCTCGCTTCCTGCCGTGACGGGATAATCCCACCAGTCCCCAGGCGTGGCCTGACTCCTCTCGCCTCAGTCCCTCTGAGGCGACCTCCACCCCCTGGACCCTGCTATCCACTCGGGCCTCCTGCAGCCCTGGGCCCATCTCCCACTACCCAGACTCTCAGGCCCAGGAAGTCCCCTACCCCTGCCCCAGTGGCATGCTGAGGCATGTTGAGCAGAGCAGGGATTCCCAGCCAAAAAGAAAGGCTTGAGCCCAACCCCAGAACCTGTCACCCTCAGCCACAAGCCAGGCATGGCCGGAGGCCCGTGATGCCCCAGCCCCCACTGTTCTTCCTCAGCGACCTCAGATCTGACTTTCTCCCACGTCCACTCAACTCAACCACAAGCCGACTGCCCCAAGCACAGCACCCCAAGCCTGTTGCTCCTTGACACCCGTGGGGGCCCAGGGTGAGGACACACCCCTGGCTGTCCAACTTGTGCTCTCACTGCCAAGGTCTTGACGGGCAGGTTGGGCCCGCCCCCAGGCCAGGTGCCGCCTGTGGGGCATAAAGCCTGCAGAGGCAGCTCCTTAGGGAGCTCTGCTATCTGCCATGAAGGGGAGCAGCACCCTCCTGCTGGTGGCCCTCACCCTGCTCTGCTCCTGCGGTGAGTCTGTGTGCTTCCAGCAGGGCCCATGTGTGGGGGGCAGACAGGAACCTGGGGGGCTAAAACCCAGGCACTAGGCCCCTCACAAGGATGGGCGGCGGCCTTCCTAGGTGCCCGACCAGCCTCCATCACAGATGTGGGCAGATGTCCCCGATGCTCCCGCCAACCCCAGTCCCCACCCAGCCCAGCTCCAACCTCTGCCCCAGCCCTAGCGTCACCAAGCCCAATGTCACCAACCCAGCCCAGCCTGACCCCAACCCTCCAAGCCCCAGGTCAGCCAACCTCACTCAGAGGGTGAATTCCAGCCACAATTAGGGTCTTGCCGCCCCTTCCCTAGTAATGCCAGGGAACCCCAGAGTGGGAGACGCTGCCAAGGCTAGGGGTGACAGGAGGGGCCTGTGGCCAGGTAGAGTTAGGGGGTATTATGGAGTAAGACCTGGGGGAGGTGAGGCAGGGTGATCATGGGGGCACACCTGGGGCAAGTGAGGTGGGCATTGATGCAGAAGTTCTGGACACCGCCGAGGCTGGAGTGCTGGGAGGTCTGGGGTGGGCTGGAATGGAATTCTCTTGTGCTGGTGTCACCTTGCCCCCACCTCACAGGGCTGGCCATCGGGGATGACAACAGTGACTTTTTCATGGACTTCCTGCAAACGCTGCTGGTGGGGTCCCCAGAGGAGCTATATGAGGGACCTCTTGGCAAGTACGATGTCAATGCAGATGCCAAGGCAGCACTGACGGAGCTCAAGTCCTGTATCGATGGCCTACAGCCTATGCACAAGGCGGAGCTGATCAAGCTGCTGGTACCAAGGCTGGGGTGGGGGCGGGGGGGGGGGTCACCCCATTCCCTGAAGGTCCGCAGCCCCAGCAGGACACACAGCCCTGCCCCACTAGCCCTCCACCAAATGCTATGACTCCTGATTATCACCCCAATACAGCCACCACCCCACAGACACCTTGACCTGCCTCAGTCAGCAGAAGTGGACATCCCAGACCTCACTCCCCCAGAGCAGCCTCAGCCTCCCCTAAGAGCACATACATGCATATGGCACACCCACATACAAGTACGCACCACTTCCACCGTTGCTAGGAGGGGACTGGCTGAAGTGTGCCAGAGCCTACGGTCCTCCAGGGGCTGGCCTGGGCCTACCTGCCCAACAGGATGGGCTTTCTAGTTATCGATCACCAGGTATGGGACCCCCAGCCCTCTTGGCCCACACCTGTCTGCCTTCCAGGTGCAAGTGCTGGGCAGTCAAGATGATGCATAGCGGACCCCAGTCATGTCTCCAAGCAGCCACAGGACCAGCTACACAAGCAGCAATGGCCACACTGCCCCATTACCACTTCTCCGTGTGTAAATTTATCATAAAACTGTTCAATCAATAAAGCCTCCTGCAGCTCAGGCTCTGGCTCCTGTCTCTCCCCACAGTCAGGGACACAACCGCATGGATATGCGGATTCACAGACATGGGGTCACATCCGCAGAGCATGCACGTAGAAGTTGCCCCACACAGAGGGCAGACCCACCAGACCCCCATGTAGGCGGACAGAGCAAGACGGACAGGCAGGGGAGTGGACGCAGGAAGGGCTACAGAGGCAGCGGTGGGGTGCAGGACCAGTGCGTCAGAGGCAGCAGGGCAAAGAGCCCCAGGCCGACGATGAGGCTAGAACTGGGAGGTCAGGCTGGGGGCGTTCTGCGTCTGAAGACTGTCATTCCAAGACAATAAATATCCACAATATACACCTGGCCCAGGTCCAGGGGTTGAAAGCATTCCCCCTAAAGTCACCCAAGGAAAGAGTCTGTCCGGAAGACGTGCACACCCGAGCCCTATCCCCAAGAGGAACCTTGACAAAGTGGAGAAGAAAGTGCACCTGGTCTTGAGGACACCCGTGGTCGAGGGGTGGGCATGGCCAGCAGTGGCACAGGAGGGAGAGCAGGGTCTGGAAAGGTTCCGCAGAAGGGCAGCAGCTCAGCGCCACCCCCCAAACTCCACAGCCAGCGCTGACCCTACCCTCACCCAGGATCCCAACTGCTGGAGCCTTCTTGTGCCTCAGTTTCCCCAGATCAGTGGTCTTCACTGGAAGCAAGGCTGACTAGGTTCATCTCTGCCCCTCACAACCTTTGCTCTCTGGCCACTCCAGCTCTGGGCCCTGTGGCCTCACCTTCCAGTACAGAACCTCACTGTCCCTTTTCCCACCCTCCAAGCCTCTGCCCTACCCACCATAGTGAGGAGCAGAGCAAAGTCCTGACCTGAGCCATGCCTGGTGAGGGTGGGGGTCCCCTGGGCAGAGGCCATTGTCTTCATCATACAGATAGTGATCTAGAACCTGCTGTCCCACTGAGCTGCATTCTAGAGCTCAGGGGCCAGGATCTCTCCCCACCCCCACCCAATTCTCCAAGCCCCCTGGGAAGAGGAGAGAGAGGGAAAGGCCTTCCTTTCCATGCCCCTTTTTTGGGAACTGCCTGGCATTGAGGCCAGTGCGACGGGACGACCTCCAAGGAGGCCCGGTCCATAGGTTGCTCTGAGTGCAGCTCCTGGACCGAAGAGGTAAGGGCCCCTCTGGAGTGGCCCTCTCCCTGCCCCACAGCACAGCCTCAGCCAAGAAGTTTTCCACCTTTGCCCACCACTCCCTGCCCAGTGGTGCCCAGCATCCCCTGAATAGGAGGAAGCTACCCAGAGCCCCTGCAGAGCCAGGGAAGTGTGGTCAGTGAGGCTGGAGGAGACAGCCCTTCCCAGCTTGTGAGTGAGGGTCTAATGCTCCTCCTCTTGGAGGCTGGTGAGGGCAGAGCAAGCCCACTGCTCCAAGCATAACCTCTGTGTAGACCCCAGCTCAAGACCTTACTGAGGAGGCTGTGGCCTGCAGTTCTGCCCACCAGTGTGGACAAGACAGGGATAGGGTGGGGAGTTGGGACTTCCCAGCACCTGGTCACACTTCCATCCATGGACAGAGCCAACCATGGCAGAGGAAGTATGGGTGGGCACCTGGAGGCCCCATCGCCCCCGGGGGCCCATCATGGCCCTCTACAGCAGCCCAGGACCCAAGTACTTGATTCCACCCACCACGGGTAAGAGCCTGGGAGCCTGGGATGGGACTGGGGTAGCGGAAGAAGCCAGCTCTGAGGTGGGCTCGGGATGGGCCTGGAGAGGGTCTGGAGAGGGTCTGGGAGGGCATGGGGTGGGTCTGGGGAGGTTCTGGGAGGGTCAGGGAGGTCTGACGAGGGTCTGGGGAGGGCACGGGTGGGCCTGGGGTGGGTCTGGGGAGGGTCTAGGGAAAGTTTGAGGTGGGCCTAAGGAGGGTCTGAGTAGGGGCAGGGGGTGGGCCTGGAGAGGCTCAGAGCAGGGAGGGCATTGGGAAGGCTGGGGGCTCATCCCCGACTCCCAGCCCATCAACCCCTCTGGGGTCAATAGGGTGGGGAGAAGGGTGGCATCTTACTCCGGGCTGCTCAGAACCCCTGCCCCACAGGCTTTGTGAAGCACACACCCACCAAGCTGCGTGCACCAGCCTACAGTTTCCGTGGGGCCCCCATGCTCCTGGCAGAGAACTGCTCCCCAGGGCCCCGCTACAGCGTGAACCCCAAGATACTGAGGACTGGCAAGGACCTTGGCCCTGCCTACTCCATCCTGGGGCGCTATTGTACCAAGACCATCATGACCCCTGGCCCCGGTAAGTGAGCCTGGCCCAGCCGCAGACCTGCCCAACCCTGATGGTGGCCACTGCACGTCCTGTCCAGGTGAAGGTGTGAAGGAGCACAGGCATCCTGGCTCTCCTGTCCCCTCTTTTTCCTCTCGAGGGACACCATCAGGCCCAAAGCAGCCTCGGAGACCCTCAAGCCCAGCTCTAACTTGGGCTTTTCTTGCCCTACGTCCCCACACCAGGCCCACACCAGACTCTGCCCTTCCCCCTCCAAAGCTGCACCTGTCCCGCCCACTCCTGCAACTCCGGGACACCCCTAACCAATCTCGGTCACCATCCCCTCCCAGCACACCCTCCGTTCTTCTCCCGAGCCAGGTGACTACTTTCCAGAGAAATCGGCCAAGCACGTGTTTGACTCAGCACCCAGCCACTCCATTTCTGCCCGAACCAAGACCTTCCGAGTGGACAGCACCCCAGGTGTGCACCAGCCCTGATAGCCAACATCCGACCAGGGTGGACACCCGGGGGGTGGGGGAGGTGAGACAGGGTAACCTGATGGCTGCACTCCTAGAAGTAGCAAACTTCAGGAAAGGAGCTGAGACTCTGGATGCAGGATTCTGTCCAACCTGAGACTCACTGCCTGTGCGCCCCACAGGCCCTGCCGCCTACATGCTGCCTGTGGTCATGGGGCCCCACACCGTTGGCAAGGCGTCCCAACCCTCCTTCTCCATCAAAGGCCGCAGCAAGCTGGGCAGCTTCAGTGACGACCTTCACAAGGCAAGGGTTCCCCCCCCCCCACCCCCCACCCCCCCCCCCACGGCACAGCACTGTTCATCCCCCAGAGACAGTCCATCTGGCCCTTCCTCCCCAGAACCCAGTCCCATCAGAGTGAAAGCTATCAGCTCTTCACCCTCCGGTGTCTGCCACATGCATGGCACCACCCTGTCCCCTGCACCCCCAGGTTACATTCCTGGGGTGAGGAAGGGCAGACAATGGACAAGGACAGAGATAGCAACACTGCCGGGGGAGTGGAGCAAGGAAGGAATTTATGGAGTGCTGCAGGGAGGGTGGGTGCAGTCTTCGATAAGGTGGCATGCAGGAAAATAAGAAGGAGAGGAGTAAAATGTGAGATATTTGGGGGAGGAGGGTTCCAGCTGCAGAAACAGCCAGTGCAAAGGCCCTGAGGTGGCCATGTGTTCAGGAGGTTGAGGAGCCTGGGGAGACTTCCAAAGTGGTTTCACAGCACTGCTGACCCCGCCAGTCCAGCCCATGGCCATCAAATCCCACAGGACAGAATCCCAGCTACAAAGGGGCCTCTCCTGCACACACCAAAGGGACAAGCCTGGGACTGACACACACTGAGGTGTCATCGCCTTGGTGAGGCTTCAGTAGAGGAGTAATGTCCCACACAGAGAAGGTCATCCCACAGTGTGACTGTTGTCTGGAGACAGAAGGGACCCCTGGACACACAGACACACAGTGACTCAAGGCTTGAAACGCACTGTCCGATGCTGGCCGCCTACCCTTTGGGGTCACGTGCCCTGGCAGGCCAAGCCTGTCTGAGCCTCTTTCACCTTCCAGACCCCAGGTCCTGCAGCCTACCGCCAGATGGATGTGCAGGTGACAAAGTTCAAGGCTCCACAATACACCATGGCAGCCCGGGTGGAGCCCCCAGGGGACAAGACCCTCAAGCCAGGACCAGGAGCCCACAGCCCTGAGAAGGTCCAGGAAGAGCAGGGCCCAGAGGGGTGGCGTGAGGGGTGGGGAGTTACAGTGAGGAGGGAGTGGGGATGGTGACATGGCCCAGAGGGCATAGGGGTGGTCACAACCCAGCGCAGGGGAGAAGGGGCACCACTCAGAGAGGGTGATGGGGCACAGCCTGGGAAGCCGGGAACACAGGCCAACCTGTGTGGTTGAGTTGTTGGGGGATACATCTCGGGGGTGTGAAGTCAGCAGGGGCACAGCCTGGTTGCAGGAGTAGTTGGGAAGCAAGCCCAGAGTGGGGGGGGGGGGGGAGGGGCCGGTGAGCCGGTGGGGGGCACAGTGGCCATGCATCCCTAGAATGCTAGGCTTTCCTGACATACCATTTCCCCAGCTGGCAGGTCCTGCCTCCCTAGACACCAGTGACAGTTAGTGTGCAGAACACTCACCAAACCCAGTAATGTGGCTTTGGCGCTGGTCACCTTGGCCCAGGGCTCAGGAAGGACAGTGAAGCCACTGTCAGCAGCTCTAGCCCCAGGGAGGGCAGAACGTGTCAGGCAGGGGCAGGGGTGCCAGAGCCTCTCACAGCCTCTCCTCCCCAGGTGACAGTGACCAAGCCCTGTGCCCCCATCGTCACCTTCGGCATCAAACATTCTGACTACATGATGCCCCTCGTGGTGGATGTGGAATAGCCCTGACCCCTACCGCACCCCATCACCCACAGCCTCTGCACATCATGTTCCCACATCTGGGCCGTGGGCTAGGAACGCCTCCTCCCCAAGCTGGGCTGTGGCCCGCCTGGCCTGTAGGGCAGAGCATACCTGTTTGGACAGTTGTGACCAGTTATTTTTTCTATGCTGCTTTCCCATTTGCTAATCTTGTTTCCTGCTGTGCCCACATGTTTAATAAACCACAGATCCCATTAGTAATGGGTTTGTCTTGACAGTAGAATCAAGCTTCTTCAGAAAGCCGCCCCCGCCGCCCCCCCCCCCGGCCAACATAGGCTGTTGGGTCCTACCCTGGCTTCCAGGGCTTGGGGTCTGAGCAGAGAGGAGGGCTTGGGACCCCCGGGCGCCCACCCTCCTAATTCTGCCTCGGGCCCTTCACCTCGCATTTCGTCGTACACTCCAGGGATGGTCACACAAGCACCTATCCCCTCCTATATGGTCTTCTGCCTGCATGACTCACTCTCACCCATGAGATCTGGGTCCCCACCTTGAATCTGGACTAGGGCCTGTGACCACCCTGAATAAAGTGATACTGTGACTCCTGACGCCAGGCCATGACATAGAGAGGAAACAGCTTCTGCCTGTGTATCCCCCTCGCTTCGCTCACTTCACACCATGGTGTGCCCCCAACACGTGGTGTGGCCACATCAACATCCCGGCAGCCAGCACAGCTGGACCGCAAGCTCACACCAGCATCAACCAGTGGGGATGTGAGCAAGCCTTCAGGTGACAGCAGCCCTGGCCTCGGGTCTCCCAGCTGAAGCCTTAATGTTCTAGGCAGAGAGCTGTCCCCACCATGCGGGTCTCAAATTCCAACCACAGTGATCCAAAGACAAAAATTACTATAAGTGACTAAGTTTTAAGGTGATCTGTTATGCAGCAAAGGCAACACAGGAAGCACAAGAGGACAAGGACCAGGAAGGGGGTATCTGAGTGAGGCCCAAAACAGGCATTTCTAGAGGCCTCCTGGAGTCTAAGGCCAGGCCTTGAGGAATGGAGTCTGGATTTCACCTTGATCTTGGGGAGGTTGCGGAGGACCTCAAGATGGGTGGTCCTGCCTGCTGTCCCCGTGAGCCTGCCAGCCATAGCCACACAGAGCACAATATGGCTGCTGACCCTGGCCCAGCAGGAACCACGTCAGGTTTGGTGTTCTGAGCACCTCACATTTATTCATCTAACCCTTGGGAGTAATACTATCATCACCCTATCTGAGTTACAGAAACTTGGCAGAGAAAGTGGTAAGCCTGTGACCACCAGCCTAGGGCGGTGGGGGCCAAGTGAGGGAGGGAGGTACAGGGACAAGGCAGAACCAGAGAGGGAAGAAGTGGGGTCTGGACCAGCAGTGTCCATGGCCTGTCTGTGGACCGAGTCAGTTCCAGATGAAACTCTCAAGCACCCAAAGAAATGAGGACACCAAAGACAGTGTTTACTCCACCATGAAACTGTTTATTCCAAATTTTTATTGGTAAATGCCTTGTCCTTGAATTGCGGGATAGAGCCTGGCAGCTACCTTGGCACAGACTGGGTCCCCGGGTCCTTCTTGGGTTACTAGTCTCAGGCACCAACATCAGCAAACCCCGCCTATGCACAAAAGTAGGTGCTGAGTGCACAAGGCTGAGCAGGAAGAGGGTGAAGCCTCTGACCGGTTGGCAGAATTGCCAGGCCCCCCTCACGGAATCCATCCCAATGCAACGAGAATGAGAGACCAAAAGGTCAATCAGAAAGGAACTAAAACCCAGACCCCAAAATAGCTGGAAGCAGAGATGGAAACTTTAGGAGAGAACGTTACAGCTGGAGGTCTCAGGGAGACAGCAGAAAACACTCAGCAAGACCACCCAAGTGCAGAATGGAAACTAGCCTGCCATGGCAGGACGAACAGGCACAGCTCGCTTAGTGTGGTGTGGCTCCCACAATGGAGCATGTTCTCAGAAAGTGAAGTCAGCACCACAAACCCAGGCAGAGTGGGGGATGCAGGGTGAGGGTGTGTCTGCAATGCCCTTGGCAGCTGCCAGCACAGTGGCCAGTGGGCACGCCCCCGTGGCAAGATTTAAGGTGAGATGAGCAGAGGACTAAGTCAAAGCCATAGAGCGTGGCGACTGGGAAGGGAGGCAGGACCACGGGAGCCTGAGAATGCCAGGGAGTAAGGGGAAACAGTGAAGTCCCAGAGACACAGAGGCATGTAAGCCGACCTCACTGGATGAGAAACGAGCATCTGGAGGAGCAGAGGCAGAACAGAACACTCAGAAGTAGGAAGGTGGGATCCTCCTCCTCCAGGAGGCTGAGAGGGCCAGCAGGTACAATGGAATGACCATATGAGGATACAGGCCAATCCTGCTGGAAGGGGAGGCAGGCATCAGTGCCACAGGGGCAGTGCCCAGGGCTGGAGACCAGAGCAAGGTAGGGCCAAGAGAGTTGACGTGTGGTCAATGTGTGTGACCCGGGCAAGGAGGTGGACAGGGCGCCAACAGTCTTCAGGGAGTAAGGGGAGTAACTGGGATGACAGAAGACGGGGAAGAACACAGAGCCAATGAATCGTTTCTTACATGTATTTGTGCACAAGCAAGGGTGCCGACACCTCACCACATCTCACCAGCGGGTGAGATGCCGCTGGTCCAGCTGGGCCTGTGGTTCGGTTTGTGTGAACATGGGGCTGGCCAAGTGGGCCGTCAGGGCCCAGGGAACAAACGGTGGGTGGGCATGGAGGGCAGTCCGCAGAGGGATGCGAGAAGAACTAAGCGTCCCCACAGTAAGGTGGTACTCACTGTCCAAGGGTCTCGCTTGGTGGATGGGAAGCTGCCTGCTGACACTCCAGAAGCGACCCACAGGTCCTACGAAGAGAGTCCTTGTAGGGAAGCCTCCTGTCCTGACCCACAGAAGGTGCCCCCCTCAACACACACACTGCCTGACTCTGAAATGCCAGACAGAACTGCTTCTAAAGGTCTGCTCTCGCGGAAATACACCTTTGGTGTTGGGTAGCTCTCGAATCCTGAGAAAACGGGGAGTTTCTTCTCCTGGATACAAGACTGTGAGATCCAGAAGGACTGGGAGGGCCCAGGGCCTCCAGCCAAGGTTGCAGTCCACTCCTTCATCCACGGCCCCTTGCCCTTTCCCGAGGGTCCGGAGGGCAGGCAAGGCCTCAGGGCGGAACCCTCAACATTGATCTACCCATGCCCAGCAGCCCTAGCCAAGAGGATCTGCCATCTCGGAGTCGAAATGGTGCTCAAAGTTCACAGCCACACCCCCTTCCTGTGTCAGCTCCAGGCACCTCAGATCTCAGATGTGGCCTGACCTAGAGACAAGGACGGGACAGAGCCTTAAAACGCCAAAGCCCCAAGGAACAGGGGAAGGCTGCTAGCCACAGGTAGCCATGTCCAGGATTCCCAGCTGCTCAGGTCAGACCTGCTCTGCCAGAGCCTCTAACACCCGGAACAGTACAGAGAGCTGGGCCTTGGCTTCTCCAAGGGAAAGAGACCCTCACACACATGGGACCGGCCAACATGAGCTCACGGGGTCAGAGGAAGCCACGAACTCCCAGTCACACAGGAAAAGATTCCCAAGCCACGATCATCGTTTCAAAGGAGTATTTTGTACGTAGGTCTTCTGGAGCCCAGGACACCAGGCAGGGGGAGACCCTGGCTGCCCCGGGCACTCACAGAAGCCAGTTCCTAGTGGCTCATGTCCTTGCCCTTGACAGGAGATACGAGAGGATGAAGAAGGCCACGATCAGGCCTGCGGCCATACCACATAGAAGCTTCCGGTTGTCTCGCCCAGACCTCGCCATTGTGGAAAAGCGCTTCACACTCCCTGTGAGCAGGCCTGTCATGCTTGTGAAATCCGAGTCCTGAGGGAGGAATCCCAGCACAGTCACACAGGGGGGGCATCTCCACGACCGACACGCAGGTGCTGCAGGCACGCTGGGAGCCTGCACAGCAGGTGGTGTGGGGCAGAGCTGACCGCGATGCCCGCGCACACTGCAGACCCTTACCATGCTGTCCAGGTACCGGTTCTGGTCTTCTGCGTCCCTATCGATGTCCAGGGCCAGCTGGTCAGGACACAGAGGGGGCAAGGTCAGGCCAGAGAAGGGACACTGGATGGCGCCTGACCCCCCGTAAGACCAGCAGACCCTGCCAACAACTCTGCCAGACACAGTACCACCAGCAGAGATCAGGATTCAGGTGTCACCCGGACCTCACACGGATGGACGCTGCCATGGACGAGACAAGGAAGATGGGAACTACGTGAAACCCGTCCCAGCCTCTACCCTCCCTCTGGTCCCCACTCCAGGGTGCTAGGTGGAGGTGAAGGGACGACCACCACTGACCGATTTGAGCCTGGTGACCTTGGAAGCCAAGTTGTCGGCCATCCGCTTATTCTCCCGGTCTAGAATCTCCTCCACAGCGGCGGGGCTCTGAGCTGCGAGAAGGGAGAGTCTGAGGGGGAGCATCCACCTGTGAGCACTGCCCTTGACCCCTGCATGTCAGCCCTTTGTGGCCTCAGGGCTCGCACTCCAATCCCACCCAGCCATGCTGGAAGTCTCAGAGGACTGAGCTCACATCTGTTGAGCGGGCCCAACCCTAACCCGGGATCCAGTGCATGGACGTCACACATGACAGGCTGTGTAAAGGATAGTGCCTTGTGAGCACCTGTCATGTGAGCACATGTCCTGTAAACATATCTGGGCACCCCAAAGGGGTACAGTCCTACTAGCACTTTCTGATATTGTCACAGAACCTGCACGATCCCTCCACAGATGGCATCATAAGGATAGATAGGATAGTTATTTCTGGCAGGAAGAGCACCCAGGAGGGAAGCAGAAAGGCCCTGGCAGGGATGGCCCATGAACTGGGTTCTGAAGAGATGACAAGTGACCAAAGAGGAAACAAATTCGCAAAGCTCCCAACACCCAAAAGTGGGGGCTGAGGTCGATCCTGAGTGCAGGCCCTAGGTCTGCTCACCTCTACACCCCACACCTTACAGGACGCCCTGACCCATGACTAGTGATGCTGAATCTGTCACATCAGGTGGGTGGGAACCATCTCCCCCCAAGTTCGGAGTGCAATTTTGCGGCGGCCAGGATGCCTTAATATGCCACCGAGGCACAGCCTTAGGAATCACTGATGAATACAAATCCCAAAAGAAAGGCTGTTAACGTCCTGCCAACCACTTCATGTTCGTTAACCCCTTAACAGTTACAAGAGCCCAGCGACACAGGCCA